CCCCCCCCCCCCCCCCTAGTCGAAGCTCTCTCCGAGAGTCCGCTTAGTTATAGCCTTTTGCGCTGTCAAGGACATCGGAGTATTCAGAGAGTGACGGCAGGTTTAGCCCAGATGACATGTCAACGGTTCAGAGGCGTAAAGAGTATTTAGGTGAAGAATAGAGGAGGTTCAGGGCAGCAAGGACGCTAAACCAACGGCATGGGTGTGGCCATCCACTATACTACTACATAACTGCAACTTGTGAAGGCTAACTATGATTGGTAAATGCGACCTAATAAATCAGGGACTAAGGATATCAAGGTTGAAAAGGTTTTTCTGGACTCGGCCTGAAAGGTGCGAGACTATTAGGGGACCATGTGATCGCGAAAGGTCAAAGCCAGAAGTTTTCATGATAGGCAACCTCTTTTGGACTACTTGTATTGCTATAAGGGACTACACGGCTAGCCTAAAGAGGAAAGATATTATCAAGTCAATCGACTCTTTTAAAAAAACTATACCTACTTTTCTACCTTTTTACGCTTTATGGGGGTTATATAGGGTGTACCAGGGTTATTATCGTAGTATGGTGGTCATTAGGGGTTTTATTAGAGTTTTTCATTCAGAGATTAATCATGGATTTTATGTATTTTGAGTTCCTCGAGGTGGAGAATACCTTTGAAGTTGGTTGAGTTGACAATACCATTTCTCTTTAGAATAGCCGTGTAGTCCGTGTAGCAATACAGGTAGTCCCAAAAACCGTTTGCCTTATGATATCAGTGGACCATGTGCCGATTTAAAGAAACTGGTTGAGCCCAGAAAAGTATAATAATCCGATTCCAGCCGACAACTTTATGGTATTCCAATGTTTGCTTATCTATACCCATGCCACCAATTAGCTTTCTCCACTTTCCGTTCTAGGCTCCAGTCAAAACGATCAAAACCCCCGTCCCCCACCTATTCTCCAATTCAGACACTTCTTTTCATATGGGTCTTCTCCGGGTGCTCCGACTAGGGATGTTGAAATTCCAAACCCTAATAAAAGGAATCAGGCGAAATGAATTCTAGGTCCGATTCGATCAGGGAGACGAATGTCTCGAGAGAAGCGAGAAGCTCACAACCCAACGACAACAGCAGTCAGGGTAAACCTGCCGTGGGTAATGAAGATGAAGTCGAACTCGAATATCTCTCCGGAGTCAACTTGGCCTTGGTTATACTTGCGGTTATTGCAATCGCTTTGCTTGTCATGCTTGATATGTCCATAATCGCTACGGTGAGTGGATTACCTCTGGCTGGGTCACCCAAGTATGTCATAAACTAACGCCTAACAAAAAAAGGCAATCCCTAAAATCACGAGTGACTTTCACTCTACTACTGGAGTTGGTTGGTACGGGAGTGCGTATTTATTAACAAGGTAAGTCTCCTCCTACGTCTCCTTCATTAAGACTCACTCTCTCCAAGCTGTACTCTCCAGCCTATGTCAGGCAAGTTATATTCTCGGTTTAATGTCAAAGTTAGTTGCTATAAGCCTGCCTACTACTTTATGAAGCCAACTATATCATAGTATACATATATCGCCTTCATCGCCCTTTTCGAGCTTGGCTCATTAGTATGCGGTGTTTCAACGTCTTCCAATATGTTTATAGTAGGAAGGGCCATCGCTGGGATGGGGAGTTCTGGCGTGTCGAACGGTGCACTCACAATATTGTCCGCCTCTATACCTCTTGAAAAGAGAGCTCGTACGTTACTTTCCGGCTTACGTTCTAGTCCTGAAACATAATAAAATCTTACTGACAGCCCTGAAATGCAGTTTACTTTGGCATTGTGGGATCATGTATGTTCTACTACAGTTCCTCGTTCCCTTCGATTCTAACCCTCGCAGGTGGTCAAATAGGCGTTGTGGCCTCACCATTGATTGGAGGTGCATTGACGGAATATGCGACCTGGAGATGGTGTGCGTGACACTCGAACACCCGACAACAGTGTACTCAGTTACTAAGAATCAAACTAGGCTTCTACATCAATCTCCCCATCGGCGGGCTGGCGGTGCTTTTTCTTCTTTATATATCACTTCCCGAGCACGGTCTTAACAGACCAGAGCAGCGATTAGAAATCGCATTCGCCTCTCTCTTTTCTGAGCTTGACATCATGGGTTTTCTCCTCCTCTCCCCGACCCTCGTTATGTTTCTTCTCGCTCTCGAATGGGGCGGAACAACTTACCCTTGGAATACTGCCATGGTTATCGGCCTCTTCTGTGGATCTGCCGGCAATCTGGTATTTTTGTTAATTTGGGAATATAGAAAAGGCGACGCGGCGATGATTCCCTTGAAAATGATCAAACAACGGGTTGTCTGTTTTTCTTCATTGACCATGTTCTTCCTCTATGCGAATAGCCTGATCTGTTCTTACTACCTGGCTATATACTTCCAAGGAGTGCGAGGCGAACCACCGATGTATAGTGGCCTGTATATGCTACCGGGTGTCATTGCTCAAATGATCTCTGGCTTTCTATCTGGCTTAGCGGGTATGTATCGCCATTCTGTTCTACCTTATGAGTGGATCGCTAATGCGTTCAAAGTCACCCGGCTTGGTTATTACCTGCCCTCGGCAGTTACGGGAACAGTCTTAGCCGCAATCGGATCTGGATTGATGAGTTTATTTACTCCCCATACAAGCATGGGTAAATGGATCGGGTATCAAATAATCGCCGGTGTGGGGCGTGGTTGTGCTCTACAAATGGTATGATTACTCTGTAGCAAGGCCAGTTATTTGACAAATACCACTAACACAGCTAAACCAACCAGCCTCTCATAGCAGTCCAAAACAATGTGCCTCCCTCCAAAATCGCCGTCAGCATGGCCTTTCTCTATTTCTGCCAGAACTTCGGTGGGGCATTGTGGCTTTCCTTCGCTAGCACAGTCTTCAACACCGGTCTTGCAAACCTTCTACCCATCTACGCACCAGACGTTTCTGTTTCGGAAGTCACGTCGGCTGGTGTATCTGGAATGCGATCGGTGATCCCGCATTCTAGTTTGAATGGTGTGGTTATAGCTTATAATGATGCTATTCAGCACGTTTTCTATATGGTTGCTGGGACTGCGGGGGCGGCTTTTGTATTTAGTTGGGGCCTAGGATGGAAGAGCGTTCAGAAGAGGAGAGCCTAGCCTGAGGTTGAGAGTCTAGTGATGAATGTTTTGACAGATTAAATTGCGCACGCTCCACGTTGGCGCTTTGTTATGATTATGAGCGAGGTCATAGGGAGACTTAGTCATGGCATCATCTTACTGTATCATGTACTCTATATCCGTTCAGTAATTCCACAACATCGTGTATTCCAATAGATATAACAAGGAATGTCATGACTGCGCAGAGGACACACTAATCAAATGTCACAGGCCTTCTATCTGCTCTGCCCCTTGTAGTAGAATGGCATTATATACAACGCTTTGTGAAAGCCAGCTGGAAACAACTAATGCAACTCCTTTTCAATAGTTAAACCCCTTGCCATCCACGCAGCACCCAGTCCGAACAACCCTCCTACAGCAAGTACATATCTAGCCTGGTTCTCCCCATCCTGAGAAACCCAAAAAACCAACCCTGCAATCAAAGCAGCGAGGATTTGCGGTGCTGCAATAGAGACATTATGCAAACTCATTATTAAACCCGGATTGTGGGGACGTAAGGCGTTCCTCGATTCCTGTAAGATTTTCGTACTCATCAACGTAAAGGGGATCCAGGCGGTGCAGCACCAACTGAGGCCAAGAATGCTGATAATGAATGTTGCACCGATAACTGACGATACCCATAAAGTGCATATCATGCCTGCTCCGAACAGTGCCTGGGATATCGCCCAGATGTTTGATAGCGTTAGGTGACTCCTGTACTTTCCTTTTGACCGCTCATTGTATTTGAATAGCCAGGGAAGTAGCATGCTTGAAACGAACGATACGCAGGCGTTTAGAAGCATTGCTCTGGGCCCGAATTGTAAAGACTCCGTTCTGATGGACCGTTGACCTTCCTCGTCTGTTATATTTGCATCCTGCAGGAGATCATTTAAAGCTGTTAGATGAGTCAGCAGAAGCTCCAGCGTTCGAACTTATGTCACTCGAATCTTACCAAGAGAATCGATGTACCTAAAGCAATTAATTATTTAGAATGACCAGTTCACTTTAAATGACGACAATAGAGATCACTCACATAGTGGCATAGTAGAGAAATTGGAACCACCCCATCCAAGAAAATACCTGAACCTTCCAAACGCTCATTGCACCCGGAAAAACAGTCCTTATGGCCTTCCACGGCCCTACGAGCCTGCTTTGCCGATTATTCCGTCCCTCGGATGGATATTTGGGATCTGTCACCGCCCTAACAAACAGGCCCAGACCGATTGCAGTAACAATAAGCCCAATCGACGTCAGCAGACATAAATCCTTGAAATGGCTCCCAGTCGTGAACGGTCGTAATTTCGTCGTGTCAACCGATCCAGCAAGCTGCGCAATAATATTTCCTATCCCGATCATGCGCGTAACCCAAGCAGACGCCATGATCTGCTGTTCCGGACGACAGACTTCTATGATTAGGACCCGAAGACCAAGCTGAACTGGTTGCACGGCAAGGTTCAGAGTGCAGATAAATAATAACACCAAAGCCTTGGTTATTTCACTGCTTTGCTCTTTCAGATCTGGCGCCCAGCCGAGACCTAAAAGCGATGCGACGAGACCAATGACGCCAATAGCGACGATTAATTTCTGATGACCAAATTTGTCACTTATTATACCGATCAAAGGCTGAAAGAACGTCCCTGCAAGCGGTCCGGCCAGCCAGGCCAATCCCGTTGCCGCTTGGCTCATCCCAACGGACAGTAGCTGTGCCTAAGTATCACTGTTAGCTGGTACATGTAAGTAGTCTGGGGGGCTGTATCACAGATCCATATGAGGCCAAGAGAGCAAATACAAGCTGTAGTCTAATTAGATGTTAGCCCCAAACCGCAATTGTCCACCAAGTGAAGAACTCACGTCCCAAATCCACTAGCCAGAACAAGTACTTCGAAGATATCTGCCGGCGGACTGGTATCTTGCAGCTCTTCATGTGCCTCGTTCATGACGATTAGAGGTACAGAATCTTCCTGGCTCTCATCATCGTGATCGGATAATGACAGTGTCGGGCTAGCAGAAGGCATGGAGCCGCCAATGTGCAAATTGAACTGCAGTTTTGAGCAAGACAGGTTTTATGCAAGATTAATAACGATGGAAGAGCCGGCTATGAGAAAGGAAACAATGGACTTAGAGGGCTTGAAGTCCTCCACGCAAGTTCCAGTACCGAGTTGCAAGTGTGCTGCGGGGAGACTTCGGCGCTAAGATAAGGAAGATAGAAAGGTATCATTGGGCACTTTGATTGACAATCATACGATTACGGGTCTGGTGAAATTATGTACATAAGCTGTAGCTGCTCTCAAAAAAATTCTTGGTTGCTACAAATACCGAAATGGAAGGTCATGTAAGGTCATGTACAGACCAATGCGATCAGGATGATAACTCAGGTCTCAGAAGCAGGTAAAACACAGGCAATTGATGTAAAAAATCAGGGGTCCCCGTTGCGATGGAGGGTCCCAGTTGCGACGGGGTCAGAAATTAGTGTGTCGGGTTTAGAGAATTCCTGGACATCGGATGAGCTATATCACGTGCAAATATACTCAATATCAGACTCAGTTTTTCTGACCCCGTACCAGCTTTTCTCAATTAAATCAGTTACTATATCAACATTCTAGGGTGTTCTAGGATTTTTTCCTAAGAAACTAAGAATTATCAGGGTATTAAAGTATCAGGCATTTTAAAGATTTTTATTTTATTTTTTTAATAATATTATCAATCACGTGCAGATAGGGTTCAGTATCAGAAATGTTATTAAATCACGTGTATAAGCTCAGTCAATATGAGAATATTTCTGAGATTGACTGAACAGTTTTTCCAGCTGCGGTCTGACACCGTCGTACTAATTTCTGACCCTGTCGGACATGGGTGCCCACATAATTATTCCCCGGTAAACCATTTGAACATCACGTAATGCTCCGTGTATTCCACAGATTTTGGATGGTTTCAATGTTATGTATCTGCTAATAACCCAGTGCATACATATTTCACTATCAAATATAGTTCATATTGGACACCAGATATACTCATCATCATGATTAGAGGAAAATAAGGACTCATCTAACTCAAAGAGAAGATCATCATGGATATCAATGCCCATGTGAGCCGTTTTGGTATTGGCCTTGTCTTCACTCGGAAAGCACTGTAGTGTTTGTTGCTACTCATTATCTCATTATGAAGGTATGGATTTGCGCACTGAAGTCCCAGTGATGGGGATAAGTCAATCATAATCCTAGACAGAGTCTCTTTGATTGCTCACATTTACTGAAGGTGATCTGGAAAGCCTCGAGGACGCGAGACTCAAAGATTTGCACGAACTGAGTTTGTGCGCATTATCCCATCCGGCTGATGGCGTGGTCGATGACAGACTTGGTCATAGTATCACTAAATAAATGAAAACTGTAGCAGTAGCACCGTAGGTTCTGATGCGTCGAGATCATCAGAAATAATATGCCAAGTATCGCGTACTTGTCTGCATAGCCACCGAGATTATTGACTGTGTTATTGCACTTCACCCACGGGATGCAGGGCGTGTTGGACCAAACGACCCTGCACTCCTATCTCGTTAGCTACACCGAAGCTCTCGCTGGGTATAATCGGATCAAAATCGTGAACCGTCCCACAAAATGGGGCAACTAGGCTCTTGATCCCGTCCACAAAGTTGGGCCAGCTGACGACCTATTCTGGTCTCATCATAAAGTCAGAACCGCCGACCCTCAACGTTCGGTAGCCCTCCTCAATGATCAGCACTGGGAGCGCGGTCCAAATGCATCGCCGGTGCGACTGCGGGAGTAGAAGTTGCGACATATTTTTGATAGGTCGTGCAAAGCTTGTTTCTGTCCTTTAACGGGTGTGGTAGATATTAGATGAGAGCACCAGCAGTTGTGAAGCCAAAGAAAAAAAGAGTAGGTTACTATGTCTGTTGTTCTGCGAGGACATTTCTATCCTTATGTAAAACTTCTTCTGCTCCAGTTGCAAGTGAAGCATGACGCAGTCAAACCAAGCCGATCTCATGGTAATATAAATGTATACCTCCTCCCCAGCCATAGGCACTTGCTATAAAGTTGGAGGGCTGAATAAGGCCTCAAGTGCTTTCAGGTTCGAAAGAGCGCGGGTGTAAAGTGCTTCTTCTTATTTTGGTCGCGCCAATTGAACTTGCGAATATCTGGACGAGCTCTGCAGAATAATCTGCTTCAAGATGCGCCGGGCTCTGCTCACGTTGATTGTCTGCGTTTTCCAATTCTGTAATTAGACCTTGTGCTAAAATAATCATCTTCTCTAGGATCCTTATAAGTTTCTCGTCGCCTCATTTGCTTGTATGCCTTTCTCAATACTGAATAAGGTGCCGATAGGACCAGCGAGGAAGGCTGGTTTGCTCGTGGCTGGCTTGTGTCGGCGATCTCATCCTATTCTCATCCCGGGACACGGTTGAGACATCGTGACAGACGTGGTATGTGGACTCCAGTGGTTACATTCCATCTTCCGCGTAGTCTGGGTATTATGTATAATCATCGTATACCCATCTCCTAGCAGCTTTGGGGATCACAGCTGAGATAAGGTAGCGCATCGACGGTGCTAGACTGAAGCTGCCTTCCTAGGCGGCATAGCATTGAAAGCGGGAGGTACAGTCTACCTCTCCGACACATGGTCAATATCCTCAGTCTCCAAGCCTGAAAGACATACTTGCCATGCTGAAGGATATAGTTTCCCGGCGACTCTGCGAAAAGATAGGTACTAAGCGAACACTCGTACTAGATTAGATAAGTAAAATAGTATCCGATGATGGAATCGATGGAGCTTTCGGCGGCGGCAGTTCTTGGGCTGGAAATGTCCTTGTTGAGATGTGATGGATCATCACTCCTGAACCTCGAGATCTGAAATGGTCAGATAGTGCGACGGCAAGGAAGATATAGTGTGTTCTCATCATCTTCCCATTCACCTTGTAAGCTCATTTGGACATTGAACAGGTTGCTAGAGCGTTCCGACATCCTCTAGGAGTGCAGGGTTGTTGTTGCTGGGATTCCGATAACAGGTTTTATTAGACCTGGGCTAGAAAAAGAGCAGATTCTTATCCCAACACTATGCAGCATTATGCTACCCATATAGTTGAGTGCCCGCTATGTTGTAGTTGTTGAAAATCACCCATTTTTGCGGTATCTTATGTGACCGATAGAGGAATAGCTAGTCTGCTGTCCATCCTCCGAATACCTCATGAATTTGTACTCATGAAGTCTCTGAAGAAAGCGATATATTCAATTGTGAAATAGTCTATGTCGACTGGTATACTCTTTGGCTTCCCGGTATATAATAGATGTTCCGTAGCGGATAAAAGCGCGCCTGTCTATGAAAGTCTCAGATGTTAGTAGTGAAAGCACCCCAAGTCCTCCACATATAAATATTACTCACTCAGTGATTCGCAGAACTGGTGAATCCTTTCCATTCGGAAAGACGCGTATGCAGGTGAAGACCAACAGCCAAACTGCAGTCGACCAAGGTACGGCCACCTTCGCACTTCAGAGTAACCACTCTCTTAGCCCAAACTGTGGCTTTATCCATTTCTCAGCACCTGGTATGAGACAGGAGCCCTGGCTTTTTCTGTCACTTCATGTGCAGATGTATTGACTTCCATTATATAGAAAGTAGACCCAATCCAGGGTATGCATGGTTATCAGTCTCCTGTGGTAAATAACAGGAAGCACCATTGCAGTATATTCGGATATAAGGTGGGATTAATGGTGCAGCCGATAGCTAACGTGTTTGTGTTCCAAACATGGCAAGAGTTGCTTTCTGCTATCTTATAGAACGGCGATAGCTCTTCATTATCTGCCTCGGAAAGCATTTTATCACTTGAGGATGGATATACAACGATAGAGACTAGATGCTGCATACACTTAGTGATGGTACTTTGGCTTCTGGAGTTTGTCTGACGCGATAGGATCTTGTTGTTATAGTCAGTTGGAAGCTTAGATGTATCTCTCTAGGAACGCGGATATATTGAAACACAGTTTAGACAGTAGTATAATATATAAGTGATGAATGCAATTGATTCTTGAATGGAAGGAAGAAGAAAGGAGAGGAGAAAGAGAGGCCAGAGAGTCTTATTAGGTTGAGATGTTGGGAAGGTATAGGTGAATCAAACCACGGTGACTCTGCAAGCCGTATTACCTGTAAGCAGCAACGTGCACTGCAATTATTGAATGTGGCTTCATCAATCTGAAGACTATGTTGCTTGTGAGAACCTATCGCATCGTTCTATTTGGGGACTCACATCGCCAGGGCGATGAGGGCCTTAGAGTGTAATATAGGACACAGCGGGGTGGTAACTCTCTACTGAATTCACAGGCATTATGGCAGTTATGCATTTCACAACCACTGCTATTAAATTTCATATCACAAAGCGATTTCACTTTTAAGCACTCAAGAGCACCAGAATGATGCCTCAATGGAAATTATTAACGCTATGCAAGTATAGTCTATCTAACCCATCTATATGCTATATCCAAACATTAACGCATTGACCTAACAATCCACACCTCAAGCCCTCTTGGCCTTCGTCTTCTTGTTGTACGGCCTCACGCGGAAGAGATAATAAAACACAATGGCCGCACAAATATTGAAGACAATGTAAGCCCAGAAAATACCATAATCTCTCCAGCGATCATCCCAGCTAATCTCCCGACCGGCCAGATACTGATCGGCCGAGCGAAGTGAGCAATACTCGCAGCTCTCAGTAGCATTAGCATTATACAATCTACCTGAAGCAGAAGTCAGGTAATCAGCGAGATATTCACCGCACGTCTGACCAGACGGGGGATTGAACACGCTCAGCTCGCTATCCGAGCAGACGATCGGACGACCATGCAGAGCAGTACTGGAGATACCGGCAATGTAGTACGACAGCGGGGAGACACGCCACATGAAGATCCAGAAGCCGGGCAGGGCGGACGGAGGCTGCATGACACCATTGAAGATAAGGGAGAGACCGAACATGAAAACGGCGAGCATACCACCGAGTGCTGGGTCGGGAAGG